GGGGGGCGGCGGCGCCCCCTCGGGCCGAGGAGCCTCCTCCTCCATGTTGATGGCGTGCTCCGCGTTCTCCATGATCTCCTGCAGCAGCTTCCGCTTCTGGTACTCGGGGCCTGCGGAGAGAGGGGTTGGTGTGAGGAGCTGCCCCGCGGGATGCTCCAGCTCCGTGCCACCAGGGAATCAGAGGATCATAGAATCAGCTGGGTTGGAAAAGACCTTTAAGACCATCAAGTCCAACCGTTACCCAGCACTGCCACGGCCACCACTCACCCATGTCACCCATGTACATGGTTTCTGAACACTTCCAAGGACGGTGACTCCAGCACTGCCCTGGGCAGCCTGTTCCAACGCCTGAGCACCCTCTCAGTGAAGAAATTGTTCCTAATCTCCAGTCTAAACCTTCCCTGGTGCAGCTGGAGGCTGTTTCCTTTTGTTCTATCACTTGTTACTTTGGAAAAGAGATCGGCCACCTCCTCTCTCCATTCTCCTTTCAGGTAGCTGAGAAAAGCCACCACCACCAATGGGTTTGGGGATGACCGTGAGATGGTCCAGGCTAGGAGATGACGTGCTCCCAAACCAGAGCATGCTTCCAGGAAGGGTCTCCTCCAGGAACAGCTGGAAGCTCTGAGCCCCACCATGTGCTGTCCAGCTGGGAAGAGCTGAAGGAGCAGGCTGGGAGCTCAAGGTGAAGGGTAAAGGGACAGTGAAAATCTGCAGCCCAGCTTTTGGGGGCCACACAGATGGGTTATCCTGGGGTTAAAGAGCATCCAGCTCCCATCCAAATTGTTGTTTTGTGTATTTTGTAAATGGCTGGGAAACTCTTGTATCAGGCTTGTTTGGTGTCTAACAGCATGGCAACTTCACAAGTGATACAGGGGATGCCCAGTCTCCTCAGGAAAGGCAGGTATCCCCAGATGATTTACCTGTCATCTCTTATGACGGGAAAACCATGTTTCTCATGCATGGAGCAGGGCTGGCAGTGTTGCAGCCCTCTCTGCACTGAGCCCTGCAACAGCAGCAGATTTACCCAACACCATCACACAAGGTGACTCAGGGCTTTGGCTTTTGTCCTGGCCTCATCTCCCACACTGATTTGTCAGCTCTTAGCAACATTGCCCTCACTTCAATTACTCACCTATCATTGAATCTTCTTGTTAACCCTAGGCCATGTCTGCATAGCAAATTGCAGCCTAGCTATGGTCTGGGAAAGTCAGCCAGAGCCTGACACCAAAGATATCCGTCATGCTGGGTGGCTGGCTGAGCAAAATCCACCACTGAACAACTGGGAATATCTTTTGGAATAACAGCCCTGCACAGTGCTCTGCACACTGAGACGAGCGCTGGGACAGGGGTCCCTGCACATCACCGTGATGCTCATAACAAGTGAGAACAAGAGGAACGTGCTCCTTACGGGCAGTGGGAGGTCACAACACAGCTTGTTTGAAAGCAGAGCACCTGCTTTTGAAAGTGGCTTTGGCCTCATGCTGCTGAATCCAAATGATTCAGCAAAGGAGTGCAGATACACAGGGCCTGCAAAGTGCTCCTCAGCAGCACAGACGCTGGAGTCGCACTGTCCCCAGCTGCCTCACGGTGCCTCCCCTCGTATCCTCCACCCCAAGGACTGATGCACGTTTAAGCTTGGTCAGGAAATTTGGATTGATGCTCCTTTTCCTCTAATAAATCAGTGGTGTGATTTGAATGCTGCTACTTCCTACCCGTGCAGGCAATGCCTCTGCACTGGGGAGAAAAGGGCACTGATTTTAGCTGCTCTGCCCTGCCTGCGTGCTCCTGTCAATCAGCAGGCAACCCATTCAGGGCCATTTATTTCTGGCTGCAAGTGGATTATTTGGAAGCCATTTCGGCAGTTGTTCGGACTCCTCAAAATAAGCTGCCTGCGGCTCCAGGCTCCTTGCTCTCTCCTGCTGCTTTCTTCTCCTCCTGAATAATTCACACCAAAACAATTCAGCTGCCTGGAGGACACCACATAGTTCGGATCCTCTTCACCTCCCCACCTTCACCTCCCAGCATGACATTTCAGCAAGGACTTTGGCTTGTATCCCTCTATAAGCTATTAGGGTTGATATCCTAAATGAAACCCAGAGCTCAGTACTCATTAGAGATATGAGGCTTGCTGAGAAGGATTGCTGTTGCCAGACATATCAGGGTCTGTCTGCCAGGATAGCAGGGTGAAATGCAGCTGCCAAACACTGCCAGGCTCTCCTGGCTGTGTGACCAGCAGTTCCGAGTCCTAGCAAAATCCAAGGGTGGACTTTTGTCTGTTCCTGAACGGTGCAGCTATACAAGAAGAGACATTTTCCCTTGTTGTGCACTCAAGGAATTTAGGGATTTAAAAAAATCATAGAATAAAAACATGCATCAGCAGCTAACAAAGCCATTGAGAGAGGCTGGGACCCACACAAAGCCCTACATAAAAGCCCTACATAAAAGTGGCAAGATGATTCAGCACCCAAGGAGCAGAGGCCAGGCTGCTTCAGGAATTTTGCAAAGACCTTTTCAATTGTCTCATTCAATTGCCATGGGTGGAAAAAATAATCTAGCTAGATGTCAAAATCTCCCATCAGGAATTCCAGTTTCCTTTGCCTCTGTGCTATAAATAAGCCAGTGTGCAAAGGGTGAATGTGGAGCCGTGAATGGCAGCTGGGGGCTTATGTCAGGATCAAGCCACGTTTAGCTATTGTTAAATGAAGTGCCACATGCTGGCTCACGCCCATGCCCAGGCACTGTGGTGTTTCCCCTCTCAAATCCAGCTCTGATGGGCCTTGCTGGGTGGAAGGGAGGAATGGGCAGTGCTCCAGCACGGCATCTCCCCAGCTAGTAGGTGCAGAGCAAGGTGGGAATACAGGGAATTTAGGCAGATCTTTCAGCTTGACCCTCCCTGGCCAAGTGCCGGTGTGAGCCATTCCCCTTTCCCACTGTGTGCCCTGTGCTAGTGTGTGGTACTGGAGACCTGGAGGCACCAAAATCTGAACAGGAGCTGTGCAGGTTTTGCTGAGAAAGAGTCAACCTTTGGGTTCTATCCCCAGTTTTGCCACTGTGATGGTCCCTCATCATCCTGCCTCAGCAGCCACAGGACATTTGTTCCAGGAAACAAAGGTGGATAATAAGAAAGACATGATAAAAACGTAGGCTCTTGGATCCTTGTTTTCTCCTCTGTTATTGCCTTCCCTCTCTGGAAAGAAAAGCTTTCTCTAGCTAGCTTCGTCCAGGGAAAGGTAATGGCATTCACAATACTGCTTCTAGTATTACACTTTCTATTTCCTAATCCTCTGTGCTTGGTCTCACAGAAGGAACCTCCCAAGTGTTTTCCCAGCCAAATAATCAGTAGCAATGTTAATAAATAAATAGGGAATCAGGGAAGTAGTAGTTTTGCATTAGCAACTTCCTTATAGGATATTACAGCCCCTAATTAGCCAAGTCTGTTCATACCCTGGTGCAATGTGGGGCCCCACAGGGTGTGGGCTTATGAGTCAATGTGCAAAGCTGTTCCAAGAAAAAGCCACGAGGGATGTATCTGCAGGAGCACTGCTAGTACTGAGCTCCCTGCCTGCCCTGCCTGGAGCTGGGAGCACTTCAGTGCATGGAGGAACATGAGAGGAAGTTGAGGGATTGTGGGCTTTTCCTCCAGGCTATGGTAGCATATTCCAGCAGGTAGCACAGTGGTGTAGGGAGGACAGCAAATAATCCAGGGCAGGGAGCTAGCTGAACTTGGGCAAAAGAGGATTTACAGGAGGGCAAGAGGATAAACAGGAGGGAAACTTGTGGAGTTATAAAGTGGGTGAAGCACTTGAACAGATGTCCCAAAGAAATTGCAAAATCCCTTTTTAAGATGCCTCTGGTCCTACCTGGCTGGTAGAAGTCTGGGGAGAGCTCCCTGGCCATCATTCTGGCTATGCCCGATTCGTTGTTAGCTGCCTGAGCTGCCTGCTCAGACCCTTCAGCCTTGGCTTTGGCATGAGCCGTCCTGTGGAGAGAAGAGGGCACAACAGTGAGCATCATCCAAGCCAAGATTGTTCCAGCATGAGCAGTGGACTCTAGCAACAAAATCAGCCCACCTGAGGCATAACAGCACTTAGTGCTTGTTCACTTGACCCAAAACCCCTACACTCAAGGAGAAAAGCCCAGGCTTTCAACAAGCGAGGGCCACAGATGCTTAGGGCTAAGGTGTGAAGGTTGCAGGTAGCCATGCAAAGGAACAAGGGCAGGTATATTTGCAAACAGTAGCACGTTCATGAGTTGCAGTGAGGCAGCAGGTGCTGCAAAAGGGGTTTGCCAATGTGAAACACCGAAAACCTAGCTCAGAGGAGTGTCTAAGGCATCACCACAGGCATCTTTGGAGCACAGGACGACAGTAATGGGATAGCTGAGCACTGCTGTGCTGTCATCAGTGCTGAGCTGCTGCACCTTCGCCACTGCCCTGCATGCCAGACACATTTTACCCCAAATATCTTTCCTGTAGCTCTCCAGCAAAGAACACACATTGCCCAAGGGGCTCCTTTACTTGCTGCAGCCTGGGGGGCTGCTCTCATAAGTTGCTAAGAAAGGCAGAGCTATTGCCTCCCTCTCAGCTTGGCTCCCCGAATCCTCTCCGCTCCTTCCCAGCACCTCTCTTGCTCCATAGGCCTATAGGGCTATTAGAATTATTTCGCTGGCCAGCTGTCATATTCCTTACATGCCTTGAGCTCAGGGCCCTGTGATCTCTGCACTAAGAGCAGGGCTAGCTTTACAGCCCAGCTGCTCGCAGTCTGGGAAGGAACTGACTTCAAACACCAAAATCGCACCTTAAAAATATGGGAGGGTGAAGCACCGTGGATTCAGCTGCTTTGTTCCACCCGGGGCTTATGGAGAGCTGCTTTCCCCACACTCTCCCTATCATGTTTGCTGAGGCTCCTCACATCTCCCTTGATGCTCCTAATGGAGAATACACTGGTTGCAGATGCAAAACTACATATTCTTGCCTGGACATTTAGATAGCAGTTAGCAGCGCTCGAACACCAATTCACTATGAATTACAACCTTTAATGTGGTCTTGGGGTGTCTGATGAGCCCTTTTCAGACTCAAGTTGGTATTTGGCCATGTGTCGTGGTTCAAGCCCAGCCGGCAACTTGGAACCACGCAGCCGCTCGCTCACTCCCCCCCTCTTGGGGTGTCTGATGAGCCCTTTTCAGACTCAAGTTGGTATTTGGCCATGTTTTAGGACAAAAAATGAGGAAAGATGCACTTATCCCTCCAGTGAAAATGCTCCAGAAGAATTTTGGACTGCCAGTCATGGAATCAGGATTAGTTCCTTCCCGTTAAACTGAGATGCAGCGTGCAAACAAGACTAGCTTTAGCCTGAATATGCAGCAGGTGCAGTGAGGTGGCCATAGAAATGCTGTTCTGATACCCTTACAAGATAGAAGATAGATAGATATATATACACACACACATACATACACACACCATTTTGACTAGCTGCAGGGAAAGAACAAAATGTAGGGCATGAATCCCAACTGATACAGGCAACAGTGTGACTCGACAGGGAGCCGAAAACACTGTTCAGGGCCCTGTGATAAAGAAGAGGGTGTGGAGCTGCTGTGGCTCAGCCTGTCTCTCCCCGGGATGACATCCCACTCTGCTGGAGCCATGATTCACCTCCCTGCCCACACTCACACGTTATCTCCCCACTTTCTCTGCAGGCTGAGCTGCCTGGGATTGCTGTCATTCCTGGGGGTTTTATCCAAAATTACTACAACTCCTGAAAATCCTAGAGACAAGACACGATGAGGCAGAAAACAGCAATTTTAAGCTGCTGTTCACAAGGAGGAGGTCTGAGGCAGCTCTGAAGAGAGAAAGCACCTCCTTTTTTGGTAGCATGTAATCAGCATGATTAATTCCACTATAATCTGGCAGGGGCCAAGGGGGATGTTTCTGTGCTTTCCATGCCTGGGGGATCATTGCAGGCTGGGCACACTCTGGGGCACACAGTCTGCCCGGCGCCAGCCCCGGGAAGAAGCTTGCAAAGTGAGGATCCAGCTCTTCGCCCCAGCAGGACGTGCTCCAACCCCTGGCTTTGTTGTGCTGCTCTTGGAGGGTGGGATTCACCATCCTAAGATAAAATTCCCCCTTTCAGTTGCTCGCTGATGCAGGCAGAGGCTATCCTGGCCTCTTCCCAGTCAGATGTAATCAGCCGGCTGGCTCCAGCTGGGGGAGCAGCAGGCAGTTCCTGGCAATAGGATGGATGCTTTCCTAAAGGTGGCTCCCAAAAAAGTAGTCTGGAAGTGAACAGGATCTGGGATCTGCTCCCTCCATGAGTAAGGACAGAGCTGGACCCACGCCGATGTGTTACCAAAGGAGTGCAGATGGCTCCTGCATGCTCAGCTCTCCCCAGCATCTGGGGTCAATGCAAGGGACCAGACTGGGTGTGCTGTAGGTGACAAAGCAGCTCCCAGTTATGCTGTTCTCCTGCTGGAGGTTGCTTTTCCTCCAGAGAAACTGCTGGATGCTACCTGGCTGCTCTGTGGGGTTTGAGTACTGCAATTCCTGCAGGTATAGAAGTGGCAAGGGCAGCAAGAACCCAACCTGGCTCTCAGAGGCTGCCGTGAGGATGCTGGGGGTGTGGGGAGCTGAGGCATCATTGTGAGCCCCCACAGCCCCAAGGCTATCAGCACTCTACAATGAACCCACTTGGGCACAGAGGGGTGTGAAGGCGAGGAGGCCACGGGGCAGCTCCCAGGCTCCACATGCAGAGCTGTGACAGCAAGCTGAGTGACATGACTTTGGGATCACCCACCACCCTGGGGATGTGAACTGCATGGCAGCATTGCCTGTCTCTCTTGTTCTGCAGGACATGTCCGACCTCTGCTCCTGTCCCCCTGCTTGCAAAGTCATCCAGAAGTGTTTGATTTGAGGGGAATAAGATCAACACAGCTGCAGCTTCAAATCTGGCACCTCCAGCACACCATGTGTGGGCCCTGCTGGTGTCCCAGGAGAGTGCTGCTCTCCCCTGGCCAGTGATGCTGATGCCCTATGGTGGATCCCTCCACCACTGAGATTATTTATTACAGCAGCAGCCAACTGATGAACATCCGGATTATGGAGGCACTGCATGGTGCTTTAGGTACATTCTCCCTGGCTGTGCCATACACCCCTGGGGCACAACGGGAAAGCACTGATGCTCACAGCCCTCCACCAAGCCACGCTGAGGGGTTAATAACATTGTGACAAAGCCCAGGCTGGAGGAAAGGGCTCAGCCATAATAAAACCAGCTAATTTGCCTTGGGTATCTCCGAATTTATTTTTTATCCACATGGCTGGCAGTCCCTGGGAGCTCAACATGGGGAAAACTTGGCCCTGGCTGCCATGCAGGAGACAAATACAGCCACACTGGGAGAGCCCTGCGCATGCAACCCACAGTATGAAACCTCTCCCAGCCTATGGCCTGGGGTCTGCCAGGCATAGTAGTTAAAAGAGAAAGGCTCAGGTCTGAGGGAGGCAGGAAGGTGATCTTTGAACCTTAGACATGGCAAGTGTAAGAGGAAAAATTTCTTCTGAGGTTAAGATCTGCTCAAAACCAACTATGAACTTTTGCAAGAACGGAAAATGCCGCCTTTTTGTTACATGCATGTAAATTTGAGACTTTTCAGACAGCACTTGAATCAGGGCCACACTCTCTTTATTAACTGCTGGTTGTGCTGCCAGCTCCCAGCGCCTCTGCAGAAAGCAGCCCATGCAAAAACCAGCAGAGGAGAAGGTCTGGAGATGGAGGAGGTCAGGGTGAAACTATAACAGAGGCCCATGGATTTTGTAGCACCCAGCAGCAGAACTCAAAAGCCCCTTTTTACAGCACTGCTAGAAAACAAGCCATGAACATTAAATATGTCCAACCAGGGGGAGTGAATATCCCTTTTCAGACCATCTCTCATGCCACTTTCCCTGCCCACAGCCAAACCTATCTGTGTCACACTCCAGGGGCACCCTGCCCTGGGAGCCAGCTGTACCCTTCACCCTCGTTCTGCTCTTTTTGCTCCATCACTCATGTGCACATACCACTCAATTTACACTCCAACATCCCTGGGGTACATGGATCTTTGCTGGCTTATTATGGACTCTGCACCTGCAAGGTGTGGTCTAAATTGTGAATTAAGCATAAATCAATCCAAATTGGCTCCTAAAGGAAAAACCTCCATATCACTGTAAAAGAAATCCAAAAAGAAAAGCCACCCTGCCCTTGAGCAGCTCTGCCCTCCAGCCTCCCTTCCCTTGCAGACAGCTCGTGAGATGCTCCAGACTTTTCACTCATGGTACCAGCACTTACACACAAGTGGTGATGCTCCCTTCATGTCCAGGCTACTTAACTGCTCCTTCCTTCCACAGACAGGGCACAAACAGGCCATTCAGCCAGGAGGAAAGCATCCCTTTCTGTGCAGAGCTGCAGGAGCAGAGCCTGGCAGAGCTCCCTGCCACCTAACAAGCTCAGCAAGCATTAGTCTTTATGATTACTTGGTGAATTTTTAAAATACTGAAATGTTATCCTCAGCTCTAAATAGCTCTGAGCCACTTGCATCTTTCACCCAGGGATACTTCCCTTTGGAACAGTTAAAGTGATATTAATCTTACAAGCAGACAGATCTGCAGCTGTCTTCAATAAGACAACAACCTACACATCCAGCCCCGCATACGGGAGATGTGCTCTCCGTTCCCCCGCAGCCTTCGAATGCCAGCCGGCAGCTGCCAGAGCCGGCTCTAAATGGAGAGGTGCAAGCCAAAACCTGCTGGCTCAAAGCGCTGCTGGCCACCTCCATGGTGACCAGCACAGCCAGGCTAGGAGCAGCTCAGGAGAACATCCACAGGCATATCTTGGGGGGAAAAGGGGGGATTTGCTGCCAGCTGGACTCCCTCCTGGTTTTCAAGTCCACTCTCCTTCATGCTCCCCTGGGTGCAGATCAAGCAGAGCCCAGAGGATTGAGTCTCCCAGAACAGCA